CAATCCGGGTCCTCATTTTACCTACCTTTGAAAGGATGGAAGGCTGAGTCAACCTTGAGCCTGGTGAGATTTGAACTTGCAGTAATTGCAGGCAGCTGATGTTAATAACAGTGCTTTAGTCTGCTGAGCCACCAGTTGAAGTCCATCCACCTCCCAAGTTCCGAAGTTGAAAAATAGGTGATCCTTCTGCTCTTTCCAACTCTATCATTCATTCATAGCTGGCTGGGGAATTCTGGGAGTTGAAGTCCACCCATCTTCAAGTTCCCTGGATAACTCTGCAGACTAAGCACTGTAATTTAACACCAGCTGTCTGCAATTAAAGTAAGTTCGAATCTCACCAGGCTCAAGGTTGACTCAGCCTTCCATCCTTTCTAAGGTAGGTAAATTGAGGACCCAGTTTGTGGGGGCAATAAGCTGACTTTGTATAAATATACAAAAGGATGAAGGCTATTGCTTAACACATTGTAAGCCGCCCTGAGTCTCCGGAGAAGGGCGGCATATAAATCAAATTAAAAATAAAAAAAATAAAAAAAAAATAAAAAAAAAAAGTTCCCAAGTTGAAAAATAGGTAATCCTTCTGCTCTTTCCAACTCTATCATGCATTCATGGCTGGCTGGGGAATTCTGGGAGTTGAAGTCCACCCATGATCAAGTGGCTGCAGTTGAGAAACAGTGGGTGAACCTAACTGGCACATTTTCTTTCCATGAATTTCACCAACCCCCCATGCTCCTTTCTCGCCAACGATGCCGAGGAGCGAGGTGCCCAATTGTTTCTCAGCCTGACTCATTTTTAAAAGCTCGAAAAGAAAACGAGTTTCTCCAGCTGCACCGAAACTTCGGTTTTTTTTTTTTTTTCCACTTTCCGATGCAGCCTTCCTCTACGATGCGACAGTGGCCGGCGATTTAATTTGCCCCCATTCCTCAAGGGCGAGTCCAAGCAAGGACCAAACTTCAGGGCCCTTCTTCGAGAATCCTTCAGATTCTGCAGAATTTAGTTTTTCTGCTCCAAGGGGGGTGGAAGGTGGCTTTTGCTCTCCAGACGAGCAGGTGGGAGGACTTCCTAAATTTATTCTCCAAGGGAGAAATTCGCTGGCAATCTGATCTAAGCGGGAGATCGTTGCATTTCAATCGGATCTTCTAATCCCAATCTGCAGATCTGGGACTACTCGGCAACGGAGAATCTGGATCGATGGGTCCGGAGCCTGGTTTCTTGTTTGCGATTGGTTGTTTCAGATGCCTGCAGTGATTATCCAAAGGATGTTAAGTGGAGACCTGCCTGTGTAACCCATTTTTATTAAAGGGCCTCCGTTTTTTATGAGCTGGACTCTCTTCCTTTAGTATGTGGGATGGTTGTGCGCCTGATTTGTGGAGTAGAAATGCAACTGGAGCCCTCATTCTGTGTTTCTGAAGAAAAGATCCTCATCTTTTTTTTTTTTTAAATTTGATTTATATGCCGCCCTTCTCCGGAGACTCAGGGCGGCTTACAATGCGCTAAGCAATAGCCTTCATACTTTTGTATATTTTATACAAAGTCAGCTTATTGCCCCCACAATCTGGGTCCTCATTTCACCTACCTTAGAAAGGATGGAAGGCTGAGTCAACCTTGAGCCTTGGAGAGATTCGAACCAGCAGAAATTGCAGGCAGCTGGGTTAATAACAGGGTGCGTAGACCACTGTACTATCAAGGCTCTTTTACTCTTACCCCCCCAAAAAATATGCTCCTTCTTTTCCTTCCCCAATAAAAATTGCACTTGTGAATATGCACCAGGATCCTTGATCAGTGGTTCAGACTGGTGCGGGGTAAAAGGTAGTGGCAACCTGCAGGTAGGCCTCTCCCACCTGCCATCCTATTTAGCTACGTTTTCTCTTGCACTTGTGAATGTGCAGCTCGCTGGAGGATTGGCAATCCTCGGTAGGGACATTACAAGCTGGTCTTCTGTAAGCCTCCTTTTCTATCGCTTATCTAAGTGCCGCTGTTCTTTCCCACGTTCCCTTTGCTAATCCTCGGCTCCGCACATTTGCCCTTTCCGATCCCTTAAGCAGGATGCAGGTGGTGGGGGGTTTTTTTTGTTTTTTTTTTTTAGCAGGATGGAGAAAAGGGCGAGGACTAGAAACTTTGGTTCTTTTACTCAATTATTATTTTTTTCCCAAAAAAAAAAAGCAAAATGCACGTGCCTTTGAGAGACAAGAAAGGGAGGGAGGAAGGGAGAGGAAAGAGAGAAAGAAAAAAGAGAGAAAGAAAAAAGGAGATAGAAAGAAACAATGAAATTGGAAAGGAAAGAAAGAAAGGAAAGAGAGAGAGAGAGAGGAAGGAAGGAAGGAAGGAGAGGAAGAAGGGAGTGAGTGAAGGAAGGAAAGAAGGAAGGAGAGGGAAGGGAGTGAGTGAGTGAGTGGAGGAAGGAAAGAGAGGAAGAAGGGAGTGAGTGAATGAAGGGAGGGAGGGAAGAAAGAAAGAAGGAAAGAAAGGAAGGAAGGAAGGAGAGGAAGAAGGGAGTGAGTGAGTGAGTGAAGGGAGGGAGGGAAGAAAGAAGGAAAGAAAGGGAGGAAAGAAAGAAAGAAAAGAAAGAAAGAAAAAGAAAGAAAGTAAGTAAGTAAGTAAGTAAGTAAGTAAGTAAGTAAGTAAGTAAGTAAGTAAGTAAGTAAGTAAGTTGCATTTTCTCATCAGGGCTACCAACACAAACCTTGCAGGCACCAGCAGGCACCTTTCTGGGACTGCCTGCCTGCCTGCAGTGTGTCTTTGTGCATACGCGTGTGTGTGTGTGTATTTGTGTGTTTGCTTTCCGTCTTCCCTTCCCCACCCCCTTTCAAAATATATCACGCTGGTGCTGGTGTAAGATTAGATCGTTCCTTTCCCTGCTGGCATCTGCCTTGTCCGTGCTCCAGCCGGGCTCCTGTTTCACTCCTGACGCAGGTTGCCACAAGGGGTGGGGGGGGGGGGCTGAGCTCCCAGGATTGGGGAGCGTGATTGTGTGTGGGGGCCGTCCAGGAAAGTTCCCTGGCTACCCACACACACAAACAAAACCTTTTCCTAACACACACGTGTGTGTGTGTGTGTGTGTGTGTGTGTGTGGTGTGTGTGTGTGATCTTTTATTTTTAAATCTCTGCATTTTGCAGCCAAGTCTCGCTTGGCTTTTTCCAAATACCTGCTTGTTGTGTGGTTCCTGCCCCACAAGCCCAGTTCTTTCAGACTGGGAGCCCCCAAGGAGGACCAAAAAAACCAGACCCCCCCCCTTTCTTTTCAAGTCTCAGCTGCAAGGCCCTGGAAGACACACGTACACCCCCCCACCCCTCCGTCAGAAACGTCACAAACGGGAAAAGAACAAAATGTGAAAATAGGTAGATGAATACCTATCACAAAAGCAGAGGATACAAAGCGTAGGTGAAGGAAGGATAAAAGATGGCCACCTCGCCCGCCCGAGGGGTTATATAAGCCCTCTGTATATGATAAATGATCGTGAAATTATCCCTAATAAATGATCAGGCGTTTTTCCCCGTCTCTTGCACCTGTTATGCAAACTCTCTGGGTGTTTTGACTTCCTTCCTTCCTTCCCTCCTTTTCTCCCTCCCTTTTTCCTTTCCTACTTCCTCCTTTCCTTCCTCCCTCCTTTTCTTCCTCCCTCCCTTTTTCTCCCTTCTTTCCTCCTTCTCTCCCTCCCTTTTTCCTTTCTCTTTCCTCCTTCCTCCTTTCCTTCCCTCCTCCCTCCCTCCTTTTCCTTTCCTTTCCCTTCCCTCCTTCCTCCTTTCCTCCCTCCTTTCTCCTTCCTTCCTCCCTTCCTTTTCTCCCCTCCCTTTTTCCTTTCCTTTCCCCTTCCCTCCTTCCTCCTTTCCTCCCTCCCTCCCTGCCTCCCTCCTTCCTTTCCTTCCTCCTCCCTCCTTTTCTTCCTCCCTCCCTCCTCCCCCTCCCTTTTTCCTTTCCTTTCCCTTCCCTCCTTCCTCCTTTCCTTCCTCCCTCCCTCCTTTCCTTCCATTTTCCTTTCCCTTCCCTCCTTTCTCCCTTCCTTCATCCCTCCTTCCCATTTTCCTTCCCTTCCCTCTCTCTCCACCCTCTCTCCTTTTCTTCCTCCTTTCCTCCCTCTCTTTTTTCTTTTCCTTCCCTTCCCTTCCCTCCCTTTTTAAACTTCTGCCCAGGTTGCCAGCTGCACCCAAGGGAGTGCGGGGAGGGGGGGGCATCTCGAAGAGGAACCAGCCTTCCAACTAAGAGCTGGAGGACCCCCAAAAGGAAAAACTCTCACAGTCTTTGATATTGAGGGGTGGGCAATTGTTCCCCTCCACACATACCCCTCCCACTGGCAGGAGGGAGGGCTCCTGCAGCGTTTAAGGAGGGGTGGGGGCAGAGATTGAAATATCCAGCGGGCATCCCAGCTGGCTTCCATTGCCAGCTCGTCTTTAGCAGCGCTGCGGGGGCAGATTTTGCAAAAAAATACAAATATGGAAAAGGAAGGGTGAGAAAAGCATGGAATGGGGGTGGGTGGGTATTGCATTGCAACCCCTTGAAAAGGAACAGGGTGCATTGGAGGTAGTAGCACCCCCCACTCCCCCCCCCCAAAAAAGAAGCAGGGCATTCCTGGAGCCCCGCCTTTTTTGGCTTCTTTCCAGCTTCCTGTTTGACGTCAAAGCCCCCCCCCCCTCTCCGAATCTCTCCAGGCTGCCCTTAGCAGCTCTTTTTTTACAACTTCGGTTGTGGAGCTTGTGTGTGTGTGTGAGTGTGTGTGTGTCTGCCTCCCCCTCCCGAATGTAATCTGAGCAGCCCCCCCCCCTCCAAAAAAAACAAGGCAACCTCGCCTCCCCCACCCCCACCCCCAGGAGAAAAAAAAAAAAGAAAGAAAGAAAATCTTTTTTTTTTTTATCCCCCTTTCATTTCATTTTTGCTTGTTGGAAATTTCATCTTCTTTTTGCCGGAAGGAGTTTTTTGGGGGGGGGGAGAAGAGCGAAGACTTTGGGGGGGGGGGGCGCCTCTTGATTTTTTTTTTCTTTTTTTGGGGGGGGTGGAAGAGGAGGAATTTCTTTCTTCCCACCCCTCCTCCACCTTCCTCCAGGAGGAAGATGAAGATGGGCTTCCTGGCGGCCTGGCGGGACTCGGCCCCCTCCCGCGTGCGGGTTAGCGCCCCGCAGAAGGACGGACCTTAAGCGAGGACTGAGCGTGCAAGAGAACATGGAACGGTGCCGGGAACTTAAGCGCGTGCACACCGGTCTTTGAACTAACTGTCACCGATTTTTCTTTTTTTTCTTTTCTCTTTTTGTGTGTCTCTGTGTGTCTTTGCAACCAGACCGGTGCTCCGAAGCGAGCGCACACAAAACACACACACTCACACACACACGTACGTACAGAGTCACCCTTGCAAGGCGTTGTGTGTGTGTGTGTGTGTGTGTGCGGTTTTTTTTTTTTTGGTTTTTTTTTGTTGCTGCTGGTTCCGTAACTTCTGGGAAATCAGCATGGACAAGAAACAAGGTAGCTGTAAAAATGTTGCAATTGCAAATTATAACAATAATAAGCAGAATTGTTGTTGTGTATTGCGCGGGGGTGGGTGGTGGGAGGGGGGGAGGAGGAGGGAGGGAGGGGAGGGGGGAGAGAGAGAAAAAAAAGTCGGTTGCGATCTGAGTTTGCTGCTAATTTTTTTTTTCCTTCTCTCTCTCTCTTTTCTCTCTCTCTCTTTCTTTCTTTCTTTCTCCGTGCAAAGGTTTAAAAACACGCCCGTTGCTGCAGCGGGCGTGGGGTCGGTGGGTGGAAGCTTAAAATATGCACGGGGGGGTGGGGGAGGAGGAAGGGAGGGAGATGCATTATGAATGTGCAACCCCCCCCCTTCCCCAAAACTTTTGCACGGGGGGGGGAGGAAGGGATGTTGCACAAGGAAGGGGGGGGAAAAGCAGAAAGTGCAAAAGGCTTTTTTTGCACGGCCCCGGTTTGGGTGGGTGGGAGGTGGGGAGGTGGTCGCTTGCGGGCTTGCTTGCACACCCTCTCCCCAAATTGTGGCTGTGAGCAATGGTGTGGGGGGGGGAGGCTTGGGGAAGGGAGAGGTGGGGGGGGGCCTTGCAAAATTTTATGAGATTTCCGGCCGGCGCCTGACAAATTTGCAGCTGTGTCGTGCAGGCGGAGCTCGAAAGAGCTTGCAGCCGTGCCTTAAAAATATATTATTATTATTATTATTATTATTATTATTTATTATTATTATTATTATTATTATTATTATTATTATTATTATTATTTTCTCACTCCCTCTCTCTGCAAAGAGGATTGTCGCTTCCGTTTTTCCTCCTTTTTCTTTGCTTTTTTTGCAACTTCTGCAAACGGGAGGCCCAGCCTTCCTTCAGAAAAAAAAATAATAAAAAGCGACGGGAAAGGGGGGGGGAATTCCAATGGCTCCTCCCCGATCAGCTGCTGTGCCCCCCCCTTCCAGCCACCCGGCTGGGGAGGGAGAGAGGGGGGGCTGACAGTGCCTGTGCATCCTTTCTCGCAACCCTTGCTCGTTCTTCCCTCTCTGCCCGTCACCCCCCCACCTCAAAAGAAATTCTGAGCTATGTTTCCTTGCTTCCCAGTCGACCCAAAGTGGTGGTGGTGTTGAGGCGGTGCGCTCTGTACATGCTTAGAGGCAGCCTGCTCTCTCTCTCTTCCAGAAGCTGTAGGTAGATGGCATCAGCGGTGGGATTCAAGTAATTTAACAACAACCGGTTCTCCCGAAGTGGGGCGAACCGGCTGAATCCCACTACTGGATGGCATGCGGTCGTGGAAAGGATGTGTGGGTTACAGATGGGGAAGTTTAAATATCCAGAACCCCCTTTATCATGGGGTGTGTCCATGGGTGGGGTTGAGGTTAAGGGGGATATTCTCCTGCGGCTCCCCCTCCCCTCCCGCCCTACAATTTTTCTGCAAATAGTTGTAAATTGCAATCTTTAGCGCCGATCGGTCATGATAGCAATTTATTCTGAGTCCAGTACAAGGACGGTCGATGCATTTGCTCAATCAAATAGGGTTGGGTATTACAGGTGGATGGGAGACCACTAAGCGATATAGACTAGACTGCAGGATTGGGGTGGAGGGTGGGAAGTCTTGGCAGCAGGTGACTTTCAAAGCCATTTTTGTTTGGCTGCCAAAAAAGCTAGGTGGGGATGGCCATGAAGTCACCAAAGAGTAAGTTTGACTGACAGCAGGATTTTTTTTTTTAACCCTTTATGTAAATTAAATTATGCTCAGTTTTGGTCCTGCCCTGCTGGTTTGTTTGTTTTTCTCCTCTTTTCTGTGCCTAAATGCAGAAAAGTTTGCAAAGTTTAGATAGATGCAATGGTGGGATTCAGCCGGTTCGCACCACTTCGGGCGAACCGGTTGTTAAACTTTCTGAGCAGTTTGGCAAACTGGTTGTTGGAAGAAATCATTAGGGCAGAGAACCGGTTGTTAAATTACTTGAATCCCACCACTGGATAGATGGATGATAGATAGATAGATAGATAGATAGATAGATAGATAGATAGATGATATAATTATAGATAGAAATAATGATAGATGGGTAGAGATAAAGAGAAATATAGATAACAATAGATAGAAATAGAGATAAAGATAGATATAGATAATGATGGGTAAATAGACGATAGATAGATAGATAGATAGATAGATAGATAGATAGATAGATAATGATTGCTAAATAATGATTGATAGGTAATGATAGGTAGGTAGATAGATAATGATTGATAGATAATGATAGGTATGTAGATAATGATTGCTAAATAATGATTGATAGATGGTAGGTAGGTAGGTAGGTAGATAGATAGATAGATGAAAGATGAATGGAGAGAGATGAGAAATGATACATGGATGGATGAATAGAATAGAATAGAAGAATAGAATAGATTAGAATAGAATAGAATAAGAATAGAATAGAATAGAATAGAATAGAATAGAATTTTTTATTGGCCAAATGTGATTGGACACACAAGGAATTTGTCTTGGTGCATATGCTCTCAGTGTACATAAAAGAAAAGATAGGTTCACCAAGATTATAGAGAGAGACAGAGATGATGAGATAGAGAGAGATACCCAGACAGACAGACAAGTGTTTCCCAACTTGGCAGTTTGAAGATGAGTAGACTTCAACTCCCAGAATTCCCCAGCCAGCCATGAATATAGTTGTTTTTTGGGTGTTTTTTTTTTTTAAGTTAAGAATGCTCTTTGTATCCTTGCCTGTTTCCTGGATTATCGCACCAGTTTAGAATCTTTGGTATCTGGGATGAAATTCCTAGGAATTCATTGTGTTGACATACATGTACAAGAAGCAAGTTGCTGGTTTTAGGATGAAAGAATTGCTAGCATTGTTCGAAGCGTTGCAGAGGGCTGTGCCATCTGAACCAGGAACGAAGCGGGGTTTCCAGAAACCCAGATTCACACAATGACAGTCTGTGGATGAATGGAGGTTGCCTCGCTCACGTTTTGATGCCCACGCTTTGAATAAGGGGTCCTTCTTCACCCTGGCTGCCACTGTTAGCCTTTGAGACTGAAAATCCTAAAGATCAAATTGAGCTGGTTTTACACCCCTGTGAGGTAGGCCCCCAGGTTCCTCCTGCAGACACTCCTCCTGCTCCTCGTTTAAGCAACGTTCGATGAAAAAAAAATATCCCTTGGCGAAGAATCTTCCCCTTGGATGACGGGGTCTGCAAAGTCGGTAAAAAAGCAGAAAGGTCCAGAGTCACAGGTTTCACTTAGCGGGATCGCTCCTGTTAAAAGACCAAGCTGCCGGTTGCTAAACAAGGACCAGACGGGATGCCACCTTATGCAAACCTGCACAATGGTTTTGTGGAGGGAGGTAACAGTTAAGGAGATACGGTGCAATTCGTAATTCCGTGGCCAAGCTGCTGCAAGAATATCAGAGCAAAGCATTTGATTTTTATTTAGTTTCGGATTTCCTCTCCCGCTGCCAGCCAAGTTTTTCTCTCCCCCCGCCTGCCCCCTCCGGTCGGTTGGCACCACGCTGTGCCTCGTTGAGTGGGTGGGGGCTAGAATTTGCCCTGGGAATTGAAATCCCAGGGCATTTTTATAGAAGGGAGGGAGGAGAGTATATCACACCAGCTGCTTCCTTCTTTCCTGGCACTTTCCTGATACAGGACTTCGAACGTGAAGGTTATCGGAAATTGTGCTGTCATGGAACATTTTGACACACACACACACATACCTCCAAATGGGGCATTCCGAGCCTAGAATGGGCTGTTCTTAATCTCCGGTCCCTTCTGGCCACTTTGCAAGAGGGATGTTCCACATTCCACGTGGGGAACATTTTGCAAACTTCGATGAAATCCGACGGACGGTGGTGTCCTTGGCAAAGCAGAGCCAGCTGGGTTTTACTCAAAGGGTGTATCATATTTCCAGGTGTGCGGGGGGGCCCCTCTCTCCCTTTTCCAAAAATGGCATCAGTCATCTGCGTTTTAGTTTGGGCTAACAACGTCGGAAAAGGAAGAGCAGCACCGGATCGTTCTTCGTGGGAAAGTTCGGAAGGGGCCACCACCGAGAAGGTTTGGTTGGAGATCTCGCACCCAGCTCATTTCGGAGCCTGGTCTTTCAACATTGGCCAACTTTTGACGTGGAGTGCCAAGGGGGTCCCTTCACTCACAGCTGTTTGTGGAGCAACTGTTGGAAGTTACGACGGCGCTGAAGAAAAGGGACTTAACGACCGTTCCTCACACTTAGGACCATCGCGCAACTTAGAAGGACGCACGACTTAGGAGCTTTGAAACGCTAGCTCTGCGAGAGAGGATCCGGATTGTAAGAAATCGGCCGTCGCTATTTTAAGAAAGGATGACCCACCGGAAGTGAATCCCGGAAGTCCTCCACTTACGGCAGTTCATTTAGTGACCGTTCCAAGTTACGCCGGACCTGGAAAATGTGATTTGCGACCGTCTTCCGTAGTTACGAGCTTCGCAGCGTCCTCCCATGTTCATTCGGATGCTTGGCAACTCATATTTATGACGGTCGCAGTGTCGCAGTGATTCTCCATTGGCGACCGTCTGACAAGCAAAGTCCACGTCGGGGAAGCCAGATCTGCTTAACAACCGGGTGACTTAAACTTATCCACCGCAGTGATTCACTTAACAACGGTGGCAAGAAACGAGGTTAAAAACTGGAGCAAAACTGAACAGAGGTCTCGCTTAATAACAAAGTTGGGACTCCATTGTGGTCATAAGTTGAGGACTAAGTTGTGGTTTTCCCAAGGCCCAAATCATCTGCCCAGCATAGCCTTCGAGATTTATTTATTTTTTTCCCCTTCCAGACAAACAGAAGCTGTCTGTCTCGGGGCTCTCTCCAGAGGAAGGGGTGAATGTATTTTTATCATCCTTTTGGTGACTCAAAACCTGGTGACATCACCAGATTCAGCCAGGCCCAAAAAATTCTTTGGGAACAAAAGAGGTTTTTTTTTTTTTTTACAGTCATCTTCTTGGAAACCATGCCAGGAAGTTTGGGAGGAGAATTCC